AGGTGAGTCTCTTGTAAGCAGCATAGAGATGGGTCTTGCTTTTTTATCCATTCTATTACTCTGTGTCTTTTGATTGGTGCATTCAGTCCATTTACATTTAGGGTGATTATTGAAAGATATGTACTTATTGCCATTGCAGGCTTTAGGTTCATGGTTACCAAAGGTTCAAGGTTAGCTTCTTTAGTATCTTACTAACTTAACTCGCTTATTGAACTATTATATACACTGTCTGGTGATTCTTTATTTCTCTCCCTTCTTATTCCTTCTCCTCCATTCTTCATATGTTGGGTGTTTTGTTCTGTGCTCTTTTGTGTTTCCTTTGACTGCTTTTGTGGGTACTTGATTTTAATTTTGCCTTTAGTTAGTATTTGGTTGGTCTGCTTTCTTTGCTGTGATTTTATTTTCTCTGGTGACATCTATTTAGCCTTAGGAGTGCTCCCATCTAGAGCAGTCCCTCTAAAATACCCTGTAGAGGTGGTTTGTGAGAGGCAAATTCCCTCAACTTTTGCTTGTCTGGGAAATGTTTAATCCCTCCTTCATATTTAAATGATAATCGTGCTGTATACAGTATTCTTGGATCAAGGCCCTTCTGTTTAATTGCATTAAATATATCATGCCATTCTCTTCTGGCCTGTAAGGTTTCTGTTGAAAAGTCTGATGATAACCTGATGGGTTTTCCTTTGTAAGTGACCTTTTTTCTTTCTCTGGCTGCCTTTAATACTCTGTCCTTGATCTTTGCCATTTTAATTATTATGTGTCTTGGTGGTGTCTTCTTGGGTACCTTCTGTTGGGAGTTCTGTGTACTTCCATGGTCTGAGAGACTATTTCCTCCCCCAGTTTGGGGAGGTTTTCAGCAATTATTTCTTCAAAGACACTTTCTATTCCTTTTTCTCTCTCTTCTTCTTCTGGTACCCCTATAATGCAAATATTGTTCCTTTTCAATTGGTCACACAGTTCTCTTAATATTGTTTCATTCCTGGAGATCCTTTTATCTCTCTCTGCGTCAGCTTCTCTCCGTTCCTGTTCTCTGATTTCTATTCTATTAACGGCCTCTTGCATCCCATCCATTCTGCTGTTAAGTCCTTCCAGAGATTGTTTTATTTCTGTATTCTCCCTCTGTACTTGTTCCTTTAGCTCTTGAATATTTCTGTGCAGATCCATCAGCATGGTTATGACCTTTACTTTGAATTCTTTTTCAGGGAGATTGGTTAGGTCTATCTCCCCAAGCCCTCTCTCAGAGGTTGTCTGTACTATTTTGGACTGGACTAAATTCTTCTGCCCTTTCATGGAGATAGAGGGAGCTATAGGCAGGTAGCATATGTGTCAGCTGGGATAACAAAGTCCTTTCCTGCTTGCTGCTCGCATTGCCCTTCTCCACTACCTGTGTTGGTTACCTGCACTCCTGGAGCTGCCTCCGGGTTAATCCCCTAAGCTGCTGTAGGCAGGGTCTCCATCAGAGTAGCGCAGATCCCTGCAGGGAGTGGCAGGCGTGCCGGGTGCGCTGTCGTGCAAAAGTGGCACCCCTGCCAGGCAGCTGTGTAGCAGCAGCGGCCTTTGGGTCTGGCCTGGGCGGCTGCTGGGGACACTGTCTGCTCCTGGGTTGCTCCTCTGCTGCCGCCACCGGCTCCCTTTGGCCACTCGCAGGCCCCTCTGGTGCCGCTGCCGGCGTTCGCAGGCTGTTCCCGGGCCGCTGGGTTGCTGCTACTGCCGCGGGCTCACACGGGCCTCTCCCAGTCCCCTCTGGCACCACTGCCCCCGGTGCGCACTGCCACTCTCCCACTACTGGACCAGTGTGTTGGTGTCCGCGCCAGTTGGCAGAACGACTGGCAGGCTGCTTATCACTGTGAGGGGCTTCAGAGGTGCGCTGCCACCCAGGGGGTTAGGTCGTCTAGCGTTCCCCGGGATTCCCAGCCTGCTGGGCTCAATGCACCGGGACAACTTCATCCAGGTGTGGGGTCCCTGTCCCTTTAAGACTTGCAAAAACCCCTTGCTTTTCTTTTGTCTCAGGGGCGCCGATTGCGGGGACCTGCTTGCAGCTTTTGCTTTTCCGTTTCTCTAATATCCAGCATCCTGTGAACCATGTTTCTGCGCTCCCAGTGTGGATTTCTAGAGCTGGTTGTTTAGCAGTCCTGGGCTTTCACTCCTTCCCTGCTCCAACTCCTTTCTTCCCACCAGGGTCTGGGGTAGGGGGGCATTCAGTTCCCGCTGAACTGCGGCTTGTATCTTACCCCCTTTGTGTCATGCTGAGTTCTCGCAGATGTAGATGTAGGCTGGCTATTGTATTGTATCCACTGGTGTCTCCTTTAGGAATAGTTGTATTTGTTGTATTTTCAAAAATATATATGTTTTTGGGAGGAGATTTCTGCTGAACTACTCACGCCGCCCTCTTGGCTCCCCCTTGCTGATTCCTTTTTATAATTACATAGTATTTCAGCATATGGGCATAGCATAATTTATTTAACCAGTACCCTATTGATGGGAATTTGGTTTTTTAAGACTTTTTTCCTGCAAATATAAACTTTGTGCATACAATATGACGAGCTGCATATTTGCCATTTAAACTTTGATAGATGTTGAGAAATTAACCCTCCAGGGAAATTGCTGGCTCATCTTCTCATTCAGGGCAGTACACCCGTCCCAATACAGGGCCTTTTTAAACTTCTACATATTTGTCAAGCTGATAAGTACAAAATGGTATCTCAAAAAACAAACAAGAAAAGCTATCTTGGCGTTTTGTGGTTTTGTTTTTTATGTTCTTTTTTTGAGATGAAAGTCACATAACAAAATTAACTACTGAAGGTAAAAAGTTCAGTGGTATTTAGTACACTTAAATTTGTTCAGACACCACCTCCATCTAGTTTCAAAACATTTTTATTACCCCAGAAAGAAATCTTGTATACATTAAGCAGTTAGTCACCATTCCCCTAATCCCTGACAACCACCTGCTTTCTGTCTGTGGGTTTACCTATTGTAGACATTTCATATAAATGGAATCATACAGTATAGGACCTTTTGATTCTTATATCATGCTTCTTTCACATAGGATGATGTTTTTGCGGTATGCCAATGCTGCAGCATGTCAGTGTTCCTTTTTAGGGCTGAATGACACTCATTGTGTGTATATACCACGACTTGTTTATCCTTTCATCTGTTGATGGACATTTGCTATGTTTCCCCCTTTGGGCCACTGTGAATAGTGCTGCTGTGAACCTGGGTGTACATGCAATTATTTGAGCACCTGGTCTCAGTTTTTTGAATATGCACTTGGGAGTGGAATTGCTGAGCCTTATGGTAATTCTATGTTTAACTTTTTGAGGGAAAGTTAATTTCAGTGTAGTCTTATTAACATTTTTAAAAAATGAGGTCAAAGATTTTATTTTACGTCACTCACTAATTTTTAGAGGATGGAAAGAGGTTAAGATCATTTACCAAACTCTGCTGGGACTGAATTTATATGACTTCATTATATTCCTCCTATTTCCTTTGTTTTATTTGTTTTTTAAAAATTTTCTTTAGCATTGTATTCTTTTGAATTTTATTTTAAAGCTTTTCATTATGCGAATCTTCACACACACAAAGTAAAGACATATATACATATGACACAACATATAATGATCCCCATTTACTCATAGTCTAGCTTCAACAATTGCCAGCTGATGGCCTGTCTTTTCTCTTTAACCCCATTCACTCTTCCCTCCCTACCTCACTCACTTTGGATTATTTTGAAACAAAGCCCAGATATCAGAGAATTTAACCTGAATATATTTCAGTGTTTCTACAAGATAATGACTCTTTTTAACATAATTGCAAAACCATATTATTCCCCCCAATTTAACAGTAATATCTTGATATTATGAAATACCTAGTTATTTATTAATTTTCTATTAGATGATATATTCACATGGTTCAAAAAAGTCTACAGATTCAAAAAATTGTTGAAGTTTCCCTCCCACTCTTAATTTCTGGTGGCCTAATTCTTGTTGTCTTTGGCAACCATTGCTGTTTCCTATCCTTCCAGGAATATTTGGTGTGTTATAAGCAAAGCATAGAGACATAAGCCCTTATTTTAAAGGTTAAATAATGAAGACAAGATTTAAACCTGGATTTCCCTGCCTTCAAAGTATATTAAGTTTTTATGCTTATCAGAATTTCCATCTTACTCATTTTGAGTAAAATGGGACTAGCAGAAATAAGAGTTGGGTAATTATTCATTTTCTTTCTTTAGGGAAAAAAACTTATCTTCTTTCTCCCTGCTAGTATGTGTTTGTTCCATGAAAATAAAACTGTAGATAAATAGTTTTAAAAAAAGCATTTATATCCTTTCCTGCTCAGGAACAACCATAGGAAATTCCTTGGTATATATCCTTCCATTCTTTATGTGTGTGTTATATGCATATTTTAAAAAAGCAAATATTAAATTTTCCAAGGAAAATGGGCTTAAACTAATACTGTTTAATATTTTTTTCTCTAACAAGTAAATTTAAACATCTTTTTTGGGTCAACTGTGTAAAGATGTGTCATTGTTCTTAGTGTCTATTGTTATGTAGTCCATTGTATTGAATAAATTGTATTTAACCAGCATGATATTAATGACCATATAGTTATCTCCACTTTTGCTATTATAGAAACCACATCAGTGAACATCTTTGTTATAGATATCTTTGTATATATAATTGGTTATTTCCTTAAGGGAAGTTCCCAGAAATGGACCTCCTGGCTCAAAGGCACATAGATTTAAAACATAAAAATTATGCCAATTTATATTCCCACCAGTAGATATAAGTAAGGTCTGTTACCCTGCACCTGCTATAATTGAGCTTGTTTCTACAACTTAATTACCATTTTACCTTGGCTTGCCATTTCATTTTAAAGGGAAACTCAAACTAGCTAATGTGAAATTAAGATTCATTCCTGTCATGCAGGTAAGGAACAGGCTGTTTGTTGAAGGCTTTAGAGCTGGTCTGTTTTGAAAATTCCCTCTTTTGTTCTCCCTTTGGCAGCGGCCCTTCTCAGCATCCCTGGCTTTGTTGAGCGGCTTTGCAAGCTGGCGACTCGAAAGGTGTCAGAGTCAACGGGCACAGCCAGCTTCCTTCAGGAATTGGAAGAGTGGTACACATGGCTAGACAATGCTTTGGTGCTGGATGCCCTGATGCGAGTGGCTAATGAGGAATCCGAGCATAATCAAGGTACTTGGAGGAGGTCTTCTGAGAGGTGGGGAGCTTTCTTCTGGGCACCTGACCTCTATTCCAAGGAAGATTCTTGACCTCTTTTCCAAGAGAGATTAATTGAAATTTGCTCAAAGTAGAATTTTCCTGAGGGAAGTCCCCAATTATGAATATTAAGACTTTTTTTTATTTTGGTGTCATTAATATATAATCACATGAGCAACATTGTGGTTACTTGATTCCCCCCATCAAGTCCCCACCACATACCCCATTGCATTCACTGTCCATCAGCATAGTAAGATGCTATAGAGTCACTACTTGTCTCTTAAGACATTTTTGATAGCTAGTGACAGAAGCCTCTTTGAACTCCCTCAAGGTAGACCGGAGAAGGAGAAGAGACTGACTGGAACCAACCAGAGCACTCTTAGGAATCCAGAGAATCCTTCTCCGCTCTTCTGTCTGCATGGTGTTTCAGTGCTCTCTTCTCTCTGCCCTGATGAGTAGACTTCCTAGTGAATGAACAGACTCCTTGTACCAGCTCTGACTTCATGATAAAGGACTCTGACCCCTCTTGGGTCAGGTGCTCACCCCTGAAGCATTTGGCTCTGGCCTGCAGGAGGGAGTCAGATTGTACAAACTCAGGAATTCTCACTGTAATCCTGCCGAGAAATGTGAAGGGAGTAGATTCATTTCTGGGATGGCAATGTGGAGCTCTGTGCCCCTGCTATCCAGTGAAACTGTAAAAGGACAACAACAAAGCCTGTGTGTAAAGCTTGTGGAGGTAGTTCTAGGAGCGTACAGCAGATGAAGAAACATTTCTTTAATAATATTTACTGGAACTCAGGGACACCAGTGAGAGTCTATGACATTTGAAGTTCTGCTTGGTGGGAGCTGTACTCCAGGCAGGTGTGACCAGAAAGAGAGGGCTCTCTCCCCTCACCACTCCCATACAAGAAATATGGCATCTCACTGGGAGGCAGGCTGCCAGCTCTTCTCATTCTGTCTAACTCTTAAGTTGAATTGAAGAGCCTAAATTCTTGATGAGTATAGCCTGGCAGTCAAGAGCTCCTTTTTTCCCCACACCCACCCCCAACTTTATTAAGATATAATTGATTTAAACATTGTATAAGTTTAAAGTGTACAACATGTTGACCTGATACATTTTTTTTAATATCAACATGATTGACCTGATACATGTATGTTTTACAGTATGATTGCATCATAGCATTAGCTGACACCTCCATCCCATCACATCATTATCATTTCTTTTTAGTGGTGAGAACATTTAAGATCTATTCTCTTAGTATCTTCAAATGTTATTAGCTATAATCACCACACTGTACATTGGCTCGCCAGAACTTGTTAATCTTTTTTTTGAAATTAATTTATATTTTACTTCTGCCTTTTTTTTTACTGAAGTTATCACTGATACACAATCTTATATTGGTTTTAAATATACAACACAGTGGTTCAGAAGTTACCCATATTATTAAATGCTCACCCCCACTAGTGCAGTTATTATATGTCAACATAGGAAGATGTTACAGAACCATTGGCTATATTCTCTATGCTGTGCTACCATCCCTGTAACCAACTTACAGCATGATTGAGATTTTTTGTGCCCCTTTATCCCCCTCACACACCCCACCCACTTCCCCAACCTTTCCCCCATAATAACTGCCAGTCACCTTTCTGTGTCTATGAGTCTACTGCTATTTGTTCACTTTGCTTTGTTTTGCTTCTTATTCCATAAATAAGTGAAATCATATGGTATTTGTCTTTCTCCACCTGGCTGATTTCACTTAGCATAGTACTTCATGGATGAGGTCCATCTATGTTGTTGTGAATGGAGATACTTATTTTTTATGGCTGAATAATACTCCATTGTGTATATGTACCACATCATCTTTATCCATTCATCTTTGATGGACACTTTGGCTGCTTCCATATATTTGTTATTATAAATATGCAACAATAAACATAGGGATGCACATATCTTTTCAAATCAGGAATTTTGTTTTCTTCAGGTAAATTGCTGGAAGTGGAATTAACGGGTCATATGGCATTTCTATTTTCAATTTTCTGAGGAAGCTCCATATTGCTTTCCACAGTGGCTGCACCAACTGACATTCCCACCAATAGGGTAGGAGGATTCCCTTTTCTCCACATCCTCACCCACACTTGTTACTTCTTGTCTTTTGGATAGTGGCCATTCTAATAGTGTGAGGTGATATCTTATTCTGATTTTGATTTGCATTTGCCTGATGATTAACAGTATGAAGCATCTTTTCATATGCCTATTGGCCATCTGTATTTCTTCTTTGGAAAAATGTCTCAGAACTTATTAATCTTATAACTGGAAGTTTGTGTTCCTTGACTGATAACTCCCCATTTCTACCCTCCCCAACCCCTGGTAACTACTACAGTGCTATTTTCTGAGTTCAACTTCTTTAGATCCCGCAAAGAAATGATATCATATACTATTTTTCTTTCTCTGACATATTTCACTGAATTCACTTATTGTACATAATGCCAGGGGCTCCCTTCCTCCACCTACATATTACACTCATGACACAGAAGCTCTACCCCAGGCCTAGCAGGTCGAGAATTCTGTGTCTTCTGTTGCCCTTGCCCCAGCTCACTTGTAGGACAGAGGTTTCATGCAAGGAGAGGCAAGCTGACAAGAGAGGCTACTGGCCCTGCTCAGAGTAGTGGCACCAAGATTTTGCTTGGAGAAGAGGTAATGAGTAAGAACAGAAGGTAGGAAAGTTCAAGCATAAGGACATTCTCAAAAAACAATAATACATTTTGGTGGTAAACAAACAAAAGGAGGTTGTTAGCTCTTAAGAAGAAAAAGCTAAACCATGGCCAGGTAGTTCTAGAAGAACCAGGGAAGTAGTTAAGAACAGCTCTTCTTAGGTCAGAACCAATCTCAGTCTCAAAAACTACTGCTGCCTGATATTAATTGAAGCAGACTTTAGAGTAATTTATGCCTTAAGGCATTGTCAAAAACAACAGAGTATTCAGCCAGCAATTCGTAGAGCCTGACAGCTAGGTTTAATACCAGATGGGGCAGAAAGTTTAATAGAGAGATCAGGGAAAGAGCCAATCAGAGAGCCTCCTGCTAAAACACTGTCATCCAGGGAGACTGTCCACATGCCCAAGGCTGCACCCTCTGAGGGGCACCACCAAAGGCCTCACCAGTCCATGGAGAAATAGGCTAGCCAGTTCACTAAACAAATAAACAAGAAAATAACAAGCTCTAAAGGAGAGGAAGAGGAATCAATATCCAGAGTTGGTTAGTATTTACCTAAAATGTCCAGTTTTTAACAAAAGTTATGAGACATGCAAAGAAACAAGAAAGTGTAGCTCATTCACAGGAGAAGGTAGGAACAGAAATTTTCTGTAAGAGAGCCCAGATACCATATTTAACAGAGACTTCGAAGCAGCCCTTGTAAGTATGGTCAAAGAACTAAAGGGAACTATGCTTTACTAAAGAAATAAAGGAAGCTGTCACGATAATGTGTCAACAGAGAATATCAACAAAGCATAGGAGGTATAAAAAAGAGCCAAGTGGAAGTTGTAGAGTTAGAATGTACAAGTGGAATGAAAATTCACTGAAAGGAAAAAGAAAAATATTTAAAGAAATAGGAGCTGAAAACTTCCCAAATTTGATGAAAGTCATTAATGTGAAAGAACTGCAAGTAGAATAAACTCAGAGAGATTTACACCAGATACATCAAAATAAAAATGTTGAAAGAAAAAACTTGAAATTAGCAAGAAAAAAACTCATCATGTTCAAGTATTTCATTAAGATTGATAGTTGACATCACATCAGAAATGACAGAGCCAGAAATGGGGTGATATATCCAAAGTGCTGGGAAAAAAAAAGAATTATATCCAGCAAAACTTTCTTTCAAAAATGAAGGTGAAATAAAGACATTCCTAGATAAACAAAAACTTAGAGAATTCTTTACTAGCAGATTTGTCTTATGAGAAATACCAAAGGACTTAAGGCTAAAAGAAAGTTACCTCAGATGGTAATTCAAATCCACACAAAAAAACAAAGAACATAAAGGTAATTATGTAATTATAAAAGATAGAACAAATGCATATTTCTTCTTTTTAACTAATTTAAAAAGTAGTTGTGTAGAGTTGTGTGTGTTCTTAACTAATTTTGAAAACATGAAGTCACATTTTTAATTATAGAAGACCCTTGAACAACTGTGTCGTTCACATATTTAGATGCATAATGATATATTTTATGCACAAAAAGGGGGAAGAGGAATTTGAGGAATATAGGAGCTCTGGAATTAAGCTAGTATAAATCTGGAAAAAGATTCTGTCAAGTTAAGATGTATATGGCATGCCCTATAGTAACTAAGAAGATAACTTAAAAAATATAGTGTGAAAGTCATTAAAGGAATTATAATGTTATATTAGAATATATTTGCATAATAAAATATTAAAGGAGAAATATAATAGAAAAACACGAGATATATAGGAAACAAAAAGTAATAAATTCAACTTTGTTAGTAATATTAAATATGAGTGGATTAAACAGTTTATTCAAAAAGCAGATTGTCATATTGGGTTTTTAAAAGATACCTAATTATATGCAGCTGGAACCATTAGATACCCACATGCAAAAGAGCAGTTGGACCCCCCACCCCACATCGCATACAAAAATGAATTCAAAAGGATCAAAGACTTTAAATGTAACACTTAAACCTATAAAACCCTTAGAGGAAAACAGTGGTAAATCTTCATGACCTTAGATTTGGTGGTGGTTTCTTAGCTGATACCTAAAGCACAGGCAATCAAATTAAAAATAGATAAATTGGGCTTCATTAAAATTAAATCCTGTGCTTCAAACACATCATCAAGAAAGTAAAAACAACCCATAGAATGGGAGAACATTGTTGCAAAGCATATATCTAATAAAGACTTGAATCTAGAATATATAAAGAACTCCTACAGTGCAGCTCAGTAATAAAACAGCCCATTTCAAATTATGGGCAAAGAATCTGAATAGCTACTTCTTCAAAGAAAATATACAAATATCCAACAAACATGAAAACATGTTGTGCTCAGTATTATTAGCCATCAGGGAAGTGCACATACAAACCACAATCAGATACTGCTTCACACCTGCCAGAATGTTTATCATTGAAAAGACAAATAATAGCTAATACTGACAAAGATGTGGATGATCAGAACCCTCATTCTCTGTTGGTGGGCATTAAAGCAGTTTTCACAGAATTCTCAAAAGTTTAAACATGAGTTACCATATGACCCAGAAATTCCACTCCTAGGTACATACCCAAGAGAAATGAAGATATGTTAACATAAAAGTTCATATATTGAGCTTTTGCAGCAGCAGATTTATAATAGCCAAAATATGGAAGTGACCCAAATGTCCGTCAACTGATGTTAACAATGTGGCATATTCAAAAAACAGAATATTACCCAGCAACTTAAAAAATGAAATAGATGTGACTTTTGAACAATGCAGGGGGGTTAAGGGCACCAACTCCCACTCAAAAATCTGCATATAGCTTTGGGCTCCCCGAAAAACTAATAGCCTACTGTTGACCTAAAGCCTTACTGATAACGTAAGCATAAATTAACATGTATTTTGTATAATACATATTATATACTATATTATTAAATAAACCAAAAGAAAATTTTTTCTCAAACTGTCACAAATCTTCAGAATTTTTTGAAATTATTTCTGGAAAAAAATTCACATACCTGGACCTGTGTGTGCAGCTCAAACCCGTGTTTTTCAAGGGCCAGCTGTACTGATACATGCTCCAACCTGAATGAACCTTGAAAACATTGTGTTAATGCCTGACTTCAACTCTTCAAAGGACAGGCTGACTCCTGTTGGGGGCTAATGCAAGTGGTAACTTTAAGTTGAAGCCAGTGTTCATTTACCATTCCAAAAATCCTAGGACCCTTAAGAATTATGCTAAATCCACTCTGCCTGTACTCTGTAAATGGAACAACAAAGCCTGGGTGACAGATATGTTCACAACATGGTTTACTGAAAAATTTAAGCCCATTGTTGAGGCCTCCCGATAAAAGATTCCTTTCAGAATGTTAGTGCCCATTGACAGAGCACCTGGTCACCCCTGAGCTCTGATGGGGACGTACAGTGAGATTAATGTTGTTTTCATGCCTGCTGACACAACACCCATTCTGCAGCCCATGGATCACAGAGCAATTTTGACTTTCAAGTCTTACTATTTTAAGAAATACATTGTAAAGTTATAGCTGCCATAGTGATTCCTCTCATGGATCTGGGCAGAATAAATTGAAAGCCTCCTGGAAAGGATTCAGAATTCTAGATGCCATTAAGAACATTTGTGATTTATGGGAGGAAGTCAAAATATCAACACTGACAGGAGTTTGGAAGAAGTTGATTCCAGCCTTCAAGACTTCAGTGGAAGAAGTAACTGCAGAAATGGCAGAAATAGCAAGATAACTAGAATTAGAAGTGGAGCCTGAAGATGTGACTGAATTGCACCATCTTGTGATAAAACTTGGAAGGAAGAGGAGTTGCTTATGGATGAGCAAAGACAGTGATTTCTTGAGATCAAATTACTCCTGGTTAAGATGCTGTGAAGATTGTTGAAATGACAACAAATTAGAATATTACATAAACTTAGTTGATAGAGTAGTGACAAGGTTTGAGAGGATTAATTCCAGTTTTGAAAGAAATTCTGTGAATAAAATGCTGTCCAACAGTATCACATGCTGCAGAGAAGTTGTTCATGAAAGAAGGAGTCCATCTGTGCAGCACCCTTCATGGTTGTTTTATTTTAAGAAACTGTCACAGCCACCCTAGCTTTCATCAGCCACCACCCTGATCAGTCAGCAGCCATCCACACTGAGGCAAGACCCTCCACCAGCAAAATAAGATTACTACTCACCAAAAGCTCAGATGATGGTTACTATTTTTTAGCAGTAAAGCATTTTTTAATTAAGGTATATACATAGGTTTTTTTAGGCAAAATGCTGTTGCATACTTTAGAGTATAGCGTAAACATTTACATGTACTGGAAAACCAGAATTTTCATTTGACACCTTGTTGCAGCATTCATTTTATAGTGGTGGTCTGGACCTGGTATCTCCGAGGTGTGCCTGTCATTACAGTTTTTCTCTCAATGTGCAGGCAAATAGATTTTTCTTGAGATAGAATTTTCTCAGATTTTCTCTAGTACACTGAAGCCCTTGCCCACTGCGACTTTAGTTGCCATTAAGAGCTTGCAGATTAAAAAAGAAGAAAACACATAGCAAGCAAGCATTAGCCTAAAAGCTCAATTAGTCTTTTTAACTTCTATTTAACGAACTTAACATGTTGCTTTACATGTGCCAGGCATTGTTTTAAGCACTTTCTTCGTATTAAATCCTTGAATCTTTGCAACACTGTTAAGAGGTACAATGCCGTTATCTATATTTTACAGATGAGGGTGGATACTGAGGCATAGCGACATCAACAGATTTACCCAAGGTCACCCAGTTAGTAAAGGGTAGAGCTGGGCTTCAGGCCCAGCAGTCTGGCTCCCTGGTCTCTGCTCTTAACAGCTGTGCCACGTTGCCTCTCAGTCATACTTCATTCAGCAGCTGCTCTTCTTCCAGGTTAGTGACATACCTGGCTGGGAAAAAGTTCCAAATCTGTTGGGTGGAGTAAGTTAGGTTCTAATGTCATATCACCCTGCAGAAGTACCCAAATATATTTGATCACCACTGTTCTGAAAGCCATGTAGGGCTTGAAAGACCTTAGAACTTAACTCATTCATCTTGTTACCTTAAAGATGAGGACAGCTGAGGGGCAGTAACTCCTAAGGTCTCTTGACTCTGACCAGTACTCTTTTAAAACAATAAGGATGATCGAAGAGTGAGGCTTCCCTGGAATCACGTGCTGGACTCGTTCTCCCTCAGTGCACACAGTGATCCTGGCCATCCCCCGGAGCGCTCCCGCCACTCCCGTTTCACAGAGCAGGCCAAGGGCTGTGAGGACGTGATGTGTCCAGTGTCACTCAGCCAGCAAATTGTAATTCCGGAACCCCCAGTCTTTATCACTTTGCTCTACCACCTTCCCTAGAGTGCACAGCCACTGTGGCCTGAGCAACCCTTTGAGACTTGGGCCAGCTGGGTTGTAGAGTAAATGAGATGGTTTGCCTAAAGTCCAGAACGTAATGTCTGGCACATACTAAGTGTTCCATAAACACTGTTTAGCTGCTGCTGTTGTTACTAGTGAACTGGGGGAAGTGAAAATATGCTAGTAGATAACAGGTCCACCCATATCACCAACAGCATTTGGGATGCCCAGTCTGCTTTAGAAAGTTGAACCTTACAAAACAGTAGGTGGTTCTTTGCAAAATGGGAGTCTTCAGAAAGGGTCTCTCTCAGACTTTCAGCAGTGCCTCCTCGTGGAAGCCAGGCAGAAGGACCAGGACTCAGAGAGCCCACTAGATACCTGGGCACTTGGAGGGGAGGGAGGGGCCGACCGGAGGAAGGGAGATGTGGGGAAGGGCTGAACCACGCTACTGCACTGGCTGTGTTAGAGTATGTTTATTATGTTATGAGATAGAATGGAACTGCAGAGTGTAGTTTTTTTTTTTTTCACTGAGAAATGATTAACATGCAACAGTGTATTCATTTCATCAGTACAACATTATGATTCAATATTTGTATATACTGCAAAGTGATCACCATAGTGATTAAAATCCATCACCATATGTAGTTCTTTTTCTTTCAATGTGCAGAGTTGATTCTTCTAAGTTTCTAAGCCTGCCTGGCCCCTGGGGGCCTGGAGGGAGTTTTGTAGCTTTCAAAGTCTCTGTCAAGGTTCAAGGCCCAATCGAATGGCTCTGTTACGTCAAGTCTATTCAGAGCAGTTTTGAGGGTCAGAAACGTGTCTCCCCTCAAGCAACGACTTAACCCTTTTCCCCGGTGGCTGCCTCAGCCTCCATTGTGTTCCCTCCTCCAGGCGCTTCTGAGGAGAATGGCCTGCCTCACACTTCAGCTAGGACCCAGCTGCCTCAGTCAATGAAGATCATGCATGAGATCATGTATAAACTGGAAGTACTTTATGTCCTCTGCGTGCTACTGATGGGGCGCCAGCGAAACCAGGTGGGCCCGCCGTCACTCTCGGAACAGGGGGAGCCAGGAGCAGATGCTCCCTGGGTGCTGTGGTGGGCACAGAGCTCGGTGAGGTCACCTCTCAGAATGGCCCTTCCTAACCCAGTAAAGTATAGGTGTGGTTTTCCTTATCCCTGTTTTACACACCAGGAAAGCCAGTCTGATTTCAGAGCTCATAGTCTTCCTGCCGTACCTGCTACAGACACTATTTCCCGGCAGAGCAGTGGTCCCCAGGACAGGAGTAGGTAGCTCGGCCACGTTGCCTGGCCTTGGTAATGTGAAGGATAAAGGGTCAGTGTGTGGCAGGATGACTGCCCTGGAGGTGATGCCAATCTGATGGGGGCTCAGGGTGCTGGGCCAGCGCCCAGAGCTGCCGGGCAATAAAAACAAGGCGACTACCAGGGCCCCAGATGTGCAGGGCTCCCGGAGCCTTGAAGCGGCTCCCGGAGGGAGGAGCAAGAGCCGGTACCCTGCAGGGGAAAAAGAGGGCTCTGGCAGTATGCAGCCCTGCTCTCCAGGTGGAGGAGGAGGAGACGGACGGTGCTAGTGACGTCATTCTCTGAGGGAGGAAACTAGGCATGGGGAAGATGAGGTGGGGCCTGGGAGCTCGGCAGTCCCCCAGCACCTTTCTGAGTCAGACACTGGACTATGACACTCGCGTTATGTGAGATCGGTGTGGTCATTCCCATTTCACAGCTGAGAGCAGTTTTAGATTGGGTGGCCAGAGAAGAGACTCACTGAAAAAATGACATTTGGCGTGGCAGTGTCCTGAAGAAAGCAAGGAGCCAGGCATGGTGATCCCGAGGCAGCCTGCCAGGTAGAGGCAGCAGGCCCCGGGTGGGAATGTGCCAGGTGGGTTGGTGGAACAGTGAGGAATCGGGGCTGGATAGACTGAAATAGGCAGCAAGGAGACGAGGCCTGAGGGCCTGCAGGTGCCACACTGCATGGGGCTTTCCTGGGCCATTTTCAGGACTTTGGTGTTTACTCTGAGTGAAATGGTAAGTCATCCCTCTGGCTGCTGTGTGAGAGATGATAGTAGCTAGGACCAGCAATTTGGAGGGAGGATAGTGAGAAGTGCATGCTGGATAGATTTTAGAGGAAGAACAGGTAGGATTTGCAGATAGTTTGGGTGTTGATATGAGAAAGAGGAGTCAGGGTATTCTTAGCTATCCTTAACTCCTTCCAGAAGTATTGAATCCTTTCACATTTTTTGAGGCACTTCCACAGTTATTCATGTTTGAGTTTTCGGGTATTTGGTAAGTTACACACACCAGGTGGTGACCACCCTCTCCCTTTACTTGATGCTTGAGAAAACCGAGGTACCTAACGCCGCGTTCTCAGTCTGCAGGCTCCAGTAGAGCCAGGATTTAAACTGCTGCCCGACTCTTCTTTCTCTCCCTCCACCCCCAACAGTTCCCTGCTCTCTGAGCCTTCCTGTTACTAAGTCTCCAAGAATTATTGTGATCTCTGAACAGTGTGAATACAGCTGCTGCTTTCTTGGAGGGAACCACCGACTGTCCTCTAAGCTAAGAACCAGGCTTGTGCTGGCATATTCTCATTTGCACAGTCAGCATTTATGGCATTCCTCTGGTGTGCCAGACCCTGGGGACAGGGATGCACAGACCCACCTGGACTGGGAGAGCAAGGGGAAGGCTTTCCCTGGCCAGGCGTCACAGAAGGCTCCTCCTTGGAGCAGTCTTACTATTGTGCATTTAGGCCATGTTCTTTGACCAGTCTTGGCTAAATTAGTATCACTAGACTGGAAACACTCCCCAGATGTCATTACATTCCATCCTTCTGGTGCTAATGAAAATAATACAGAAGTCACTTTTCCCCCACACTTCCTGTAAGTCAGGCCCTACGCTTCCCCTCACATCACCTCATTGAGTCCTTTCAACAGCTTCATTGTCCCTCATTTTCCATCAAGGGACTTGGGCTCTATGAACATTGCCCAAAGTCACAGCTTTGTCAAGGTCTGGCCTCCTGAGGTGAATGCACACCTGCAGCCGTCCAGAAAGGGACATGCTTTCAGATAAGAACGCCTGAGTTAGGGTGACATTTTCATTATTGCCCTGCTCAGGTCGGTCCTGCTGAACTTCCTTTTCTCTTGTAAAGTGGGAGTTAGCGCTGCTGCTGCACTCAGGACTGTGCACACATGTTTGGCCTTTATCCTTACAGAGGTCCTGGGAAAGGTAGTTTTGTTTTGTTATGTAAAATATTAATGTTTAATAGATAAATAATTCACATAGTTCTTTCTATATTAAAAGGTATACATAGGTATGAATGAAGCCTTTTTCTTCTCTGATCCTGAGCATTCTGGTTCTTCCTCAAAGCATCTAGTTTTACAGTTATTAAAGTATCCTAGAGATATTTTATGCTGTAAAAGCAAATAAATATACTCCTCTCTTGTTTTTTCTGTTTTTAACACAGTAATGTGTCATGTACACACTTGCTTTCTTAATATTGTATCTTGGTGAATATACACTCTACTACATGTAAAAGACCTTGATTCTTTTTTTTACTGCTGCCTTATAGCCCATTGAATGGATATACTGTAGTTTATGCAGCTCATCCCCGTTGCCGGTAGTATACATGACATCTTTTTTTTTTTCTTTTGGCATTACAAATGCTGCTGTGAGGAACTTTGTTCGTATGGCATTTAGTATTTATATGGAGCTGAGAATGAGATCTTAAAGTAGAATTGCTGGTCAAAGGGAATATGTATGTGCCATTTATAGAGAGATGGCCAAACTGTCGCCCTCCTGCAGGTAGTACCAGTATGGCCGTGCCCTCCTGCCAGCAGCATATAGGTGTACCTGTGGCCCAGCTCACCAACACACTATTATGGAACTTTATCTTCTTTTGCCAACCTAAAAAAGTGAAAAATTGGCTGTAATTTGAATTTATCTTAATATTATAAGTGAGGCCAAGTGCTTTCCACATTGAAGAACCTTTTACATTTTCCTATTTATATCCTTTGCCCATTTTTTCTGTAAGGTTGGTCTTTTTGTTTAAGAGCTTTGTAGGGTTCCTTAGAGAGCAAATTAGCCTTTCACCTATGACATGAGATTGCCATTGTGTTCTGTATTTATCGTATCTGACTATGGCTTTGCTTATTTTGAGTTTTGCCAGTGAGTTTTAAAAGGTTTCTTTATATGGTTGAATTCAACAATCTTCTCTTTTGGTTTCTTGGTTTCATGTAATACTTTAGAAAGTCTTTTGCATTCTTCGACCAATCGAGTTTTAAATCTTTACATAGATTTTTCTAGGGTCTTTAGAGTTTCAATTTTTTATATTTTTATCTTGCCTCCAGTTGAACTTTCTCCTGTGAAGCATGAGGGATATTTTTATTTCAATATGAGGTGAAAACAAACTAGAAGGTTCAGGAATTTGAGGAATTTGTTTAAGGTCACAAGTTCATGTGTGGTGGGGCTGAGAGTTAAACCTAGGGCAATCTGAATCCAAAGCTGACGTTCTATAAGAGGACCTGCTGTACAGTATGACCCCTGGGACTGCCGTGAGGATTGATGAAAGAGTTCAGAAGCACATTTGTGCACAGTGGGAGTGGTGGCGAGGGTAGAGCAAGTGTGAATGTTCTCTTTAAACCCCAGCAGCACCTACAAACTGGTGCTTCTTCACCCTGAAATTACTATACTGGATTGTGCTTAGCGCAAGGCTCTGATAGAGCTTCACAGCACGTTTGTCTTAATGCTTTTGCCTTCCTACCCTGTCCAGGTTCACAGAATGATTGCAGAGTTCAAGCTGATCCCTGGGCTCAATAATTTGTTTGACAAGCTGATTTGGAGGAAGCATTCAGCATCTGCCCTTGTCCTCCATGGTCACAACCAGAACTGTGACTGCAGCCCGGTGAGTAGAGACCCCGACAAGTAAAGGTGTGCTTTACTTGCCAGGAGCGGTTGTTCCGAGATCTGCTTGTTGACCCTTTGAAACCTCATTCTTCGAGAGTACAACAGAAACGGGAAGTCAGAGCCTATATAATCCCATATTTGGAAGCTACCTTGGGGAAGGATCTGACCCCACTCATCTACCTAGACAGAAATCCCTTTTGAGGCCCTTCAGTCAGCTGCTTCTTGCACACCTCCAGCCAGGGCTGCTCTCCAGTATCTAGCAGCAGTTTTTTCCTCATTCTATACTCTACCTCATTGTAATTTACCTCCACTGACAGTAGTTTTGTCTGCTAGGACCACGTAACGCCAATGGTCTGCATCCAGAAAGAGCTTTAGGATGCTTTCCTTTTTTTCTCTTGAGGGCTGAAGGGCTCACCTCTACCTGGCTTCTCTCAGCGGTGCCCCAGAGAACACTGGAGTGGGAGTTCAGAGGCCTGTGGCCACTTGGCTCACTGGGAGAGCTTGAATGAGTCACTGAACCTCCAACAGTTTTCTTGCAAAGCAGAGGTCACACTCCCTTGCCTGCTGGCCTCGTGGGCCACCAGCATGAGGGGAACAGTGCCCTGGGAACTTGAAGCGCCCCACAGCCATCAGTGCCTGGTGCCATGGCTCCTTCCTGGTCTCTGCACTGTGTTCTGGGGACCTCCCTCAGTGTCAGACTCTTCCGGTTACCATTTTTCTCTTTGGCCTGGTCAGATTTGCCCTTCAGCACATCCATTTGAATTTTTCATTTCAAGTAATGAGTACATTCTGCAGTTCTAGACACTGTGTGGCTCTTGGTCAAAACCTACTTGTGTTTATTCTTTATGTTAATATTTTCTTCTGTTGCATTTTATCTCTATTTGTAACATTTTTGTATGGTCTCTTTGGATTTTGCTTGGAGGTACTAATACTTGTGTGTGAATCTTAAGACTCAGCCCAGGGTGAACCATTGCCCTGCTTTCTGTAATGTAATGTAGTCTTGGCCCTGGAAATATTTCTGCAGAGCACTTTGCTTTTGTCTGGCAGGTACTTCAGAGGGTACAGTGTCCCCAGGAAAGTTTCATGTTGAGTGTCTTGGCCCTACCCCTCTAGTGCTGTGAGCCCAGGGTGCTCCTTCTCCTGGGGGCCACCCTCCACCACCATCCGCACCCTGGCAGACAGCCTGCTTTGCCAGCTCCCTTGGCTGGTAGGTGGGGTTTTTCTAACCTTTCTTTCACCAAATATATGTGCTCCCCAGGCTTGACACGGGCCCAAGCTTCTGTCTGGTCCCTGCCGGGTATTAAGACCTAAGGCCTGGCATGAATGAGTCTCATTGCCACTTCACTGGGCCTGGAGCGGTGGACCAGCAGCTCCTGTGCCTGCTGCTCTGAACTCCGTCCTTTCTTCCTTTCTGATTCCTGTGGATTTCCCTTTCTTATGAAAATAGGCTCACATTTAAAAGAATTTCAGTTATTTTTTATCCAGTATGTTGGGTTCTTTGTAGCCAGAAGGTTTAATCTGCTCTTGGTCAGACGTGGAAGCCAACAAACTCCGTCCTTTCTTCCTTTCTGATTCCTGTGGATTTCCCTTTCTTATGAAAATAGGCTCACATTTAAAAGAATTTCAGTTATTTTTTATCCAGTATGTTGGGTTCTTTGTAGCCAGAAGGTTTAATCTGCTCTTGGTCAGACGTGGAAGCCAACAAAGGGTTTTCTGACTAAAGGAAAGTATTCATTGCACATGAGGACGGCCTCTGGGGGGGCAGAGCGACGCACGCAGGCTCTCAGCAGAGTGTTTTGTTTTGTTTTTTAAACATTGATGCTGTGGTTTTAACATCAAGGATGCACGTGTATTTTAGGACATCACCTTGAAGATACAGTTTTTGAGGCTTCTCCAGAGTTTCAGCGACCACCACGAGTAAGTACGAACTGTCCCTGGAAGGGGGGTTCTCGCACCTCCTTCCTTGCCCTCCATCCCACCGCCAACCTCAGCTCCGGAGGACCTGGGAGCTGAGAGCTGCTGTCACCCCAGTCACCCCCTGGGGCTGCACTTCCGTGGACTGTTTGCGTGGCCCTTCTTTCTTGGGCCAAGCACTGGGCAGAGCTTTCCCTTCACCCTCACGGCCTCCCTCGGGAGTGAGTGCAGACTTTGTTGGCCCCTTACCACCCTCAGAGTCAACACCTTTCTCAGCCGTCTGTCCATCTGAGCCAGGAGTGGACAGCTTGGCTCTTCACGGCAGCCAGCAGGAACCTCCGAGGGCACAGTGGGTGAATGTTTGCTTATTGAACAGAAGTCATATTCTTCACCTGCAGAAGGAGATGTGTTCTCCCATTTTTCTTGAAACACATTCTTCACTCTAACTCTTTACTTTTCAACCTTCAATGGAGACTGTCCAGGAGAATGATTCCGCTGTAAGGAAAACAGTACAGGAGTGGGGTGAATGGCAGCTGACCCTTGACCTTGGCATTGGGGAGACTGTTATAGTGGAGACCTTGGCAAGTTGGAACCCACAGGCGGCTGTTGCTCTTGCGAGCTGTTGGTGTACAGGAAACTGGGCCCACTGTTACATAGCTTCTGTGCTTTTCCCCCAAGGAAAGCCAAAAATTAAGATTTAGGGAAAGGTCCAGTGGGTAGAAGGGGCTGAGGGGCCAGGGGGACTCCCCAGCCTGAGAGCCCACGTGCCCTCCCAGAGGGGTGGGTGTCTGGGGGGCTCCCAGATTCTCTCCACAGGAAGGGGGAGGGGGACCAGCCCAGTGCTGAGCTAGCAGTCCCAGTTCCTGTCCTTTGCCCCCTCCAAACCTTTGTTTCAGGAACAAGTACCTGCTGCTCAACAACCAGGAACTCAACGAACTCAGTGCCATCTCTCTCAAAGCCAACATCCCCGAGGTAGAAGCTGTCCTTAACACTGACAGGTGAGCATAGGCGGGGTGCACTTTTGGCCAGCAGCCAACCCCGGCTGCCTGCGTGCCTGCCTGTGTGCACACATGTCTGTTCTTACTCATGTGTAGCTACAGTGTCCTGAGGGCTCCTGTGTGCCAGACACTGTCCTCACGTCACCTGTATTATCTCAGTGGAGCCCACACCGGCCCTGGCAGGGAAGTGCCATCATCTCTGCGGTGCAGATGGGGTCAGGGGCACAGATAGGTCCTTTGTGCTCTGCCCCTTCCCCACCCACTCACTTTTACCAACTCAGGGCTTTCTTGCCCCCTGCTGAGGCCTGTTAGCTGGTCTGTGCTTACTGCACCCTCTGGAGCAGGGCACGGAGGTCATAGGCTCACTGGGGTCAGGGTAGGGAGGAGTATATGCAGCCACAGGAGCCATAATTACCCAGCCTTTTTTTTTAAGGCAGAACTCTTGGTTCAAATGAAATCATGCACAGTCCTGCCCCGATGCCTGCAGCAGATGCAAGCAGAGCTGCTCTATTTGAAGAGGGAATTTAAGAGCCCAGAAACCCTGCCTGCCTTGGCCCTCTCTGCCCTGTGATGTAGTTTAAGTCATTTCCTCATCTACTATCTTTGCTTCCTAGACCAGAGGCGTAGGTACTTGTCTAAGAGCAGCTGGAGCTGAACCTGGGTGCCAGGGTATTCCGTGCCTCAACCTGTTGGCACAAACTTTGCCCCTTCTGGAAGACTGTGGTGTGGCATTGCAAGCCCACTTTTGTGTAAACAGCCCTCCTGCCAGCACTTCTGAGCCCTGTCTGACTTTGGGTGTGTCTGTGGCCTCTGAGTGCTTGCCAGAGGGCCTGGGAAGGGAAAGCTGGCCTGAGATGTGCGTGCTTGGCTATTCAGTTCTAAGACTGTAGGTGTCCTTGGGGTGCTCTGACCCCGGCAGCCAGGAGGACGTCCTGCAGCCTTGGAACGTCCCCATGTTTGTCACCCACTTGAGGCAGCAGAGAGACCCAGCCCCAGAGCCCCAAGACAGTGTAGTCTTCAGCCAAGTGGAACCTGGTCCCTGTCAGCCTCTCAGAGCTGCCACCGTTGTCCCTGTCTCTCTTACTTCAGGAGTTTGGTGTGTGACGGGAAGAGGGGGCTGTTAACTCGTCTGCTGCAGGTCATGAAGAAGGAGCCGGCCGAGTCGTCGTTCAGGTAGCTTTGGGGACAGGCACGCGCCTCTCCTGAGGGGCCCAGGAGCCAGTGTTTCTCAAGTGGGTAGCAATGCCTTCTTTAGTCACCACTTCCGTACTGGACATGTGATTACTGTGGGGAAGAGGGGGTTTGAGACTGCGGTCTTCCCTCGTGTTGACTCCGTGAGTGTATTAGCTTCTGCCCGCCAGCAGTGTATTTCAAGAAAGACCAAACATTCACCAAGCACTTCTTCTGTGCCTCTGCACTGGTTCTAGATGGGTAGAAGGCAGATCGGTCCAGCCCCCGCCCACACGGAGTTCTCTGGGCTGTGGGAAAACATGAAGAGATCCCTCTTTCAGTTCAGTGTGGAAAGGATCAGAGCCAGGCCCTGCCCCAGGAGCTGTGGGAGCAGAGAAGGCCCCTTCCCCAGCGGGGGGTGGGGGCTGCGCGTGGACGGGGAGGGCTTCTCGTGTCCGTCAGACTCTCTAAGATGAGTCCTGAAGGCTGTGAACGGGAGTGGCAGGTGAGGGAGGCATTCTGTCAGGGCTGGAGTGTGGGAGGCCAGTAGGCTTTGTGCCCATATGCGCCCCATCAACCCAGCCTGCCTCATCCAGACGCCCCGTCACAGGTCCCAGCTCTGCGCTCGCACTGCTCCGTCAGCACCAGCCCCCTTCTCTAGCACAGCCCATCGGAGGGAGCTCTGTGCCCATCCACATGTGTCCGTCAGGTTTCTGCCCATACTCCTGCCATACTCCTGGCCCGCCTCTTCTATGTCCTGTTTTTTTGACGGGGCAAAGCTGAGAGTGTGTTTTCATATGTGACACGGGGGCCATCCTTTGATCCTAGATGCCACCTTCTCCAAGACAGCTCCTTTCAGACAGAACCAGAGGCTCATTCCCCTCTAAACTGTCAGCTCCATGAGGGTGGGGATTCTTCCTGGGTCCCCAGTGCCCAGTATGAGGCCTAATGCCTGGTAGATACTCAGTACCTCATGTCGTTGAATGAAAGGGCAGCAGACATCTCCCAGCCCCTTGGTGAATGGAACATGGGCCAGAAGAGGGCAGCCTTAGCCACCTGGGCCAGGGGTCAACATTTGGGTCGTAGGTTTTGGCAAGCCCGGGCTGTGGAGAGTTTCCTCCGAGGGACCACCTCCTATGCAGACCAGATGTTCCTGCTGAAGCGAGGCCTTCTGGAGGTAATGGCCTGAGGAGCCAGGGTGTGGGTGTCCCATCCTCCCCTGAATCCTATGCATTGCTTTTCTGCCCCAAGACCTAGGCAGCCTCTCAGGAGCTGACGGAATCTCTCTAATTTATAATGGCAGTGCAGATGGCCGTAGCATTTCTCCTGAATCTCCAACTGTGGCTTCCCCATGGGTGTTTAACAGGGGATTGAAGGATCTGGGGGGGTGGCTGTGGAGGAAATTCAGAGTCTGTAGAGTTACCCAGCAAGGCCTTTTGACCCTGAGGATATTTTGCTGTATAAGTTAGTTTCCCTTTATTGAAAAGTGGCTTTCAGACAAAGCAAAGTTTACAAAGTAGGGGAGGAGGGAGACAAATGGCCGGAGTTATAATGAGTTTTGTAAAGGGTACAAACAAACTGACCCATGAATTGTAAAATCCATAAGGGAAAGAACTGATCCAAGTAATTACAAGAAAATGAAAATGGAAAACAATTTAACTGTCACAGAAAACTTTATCAAGGAATTAAGTTGGCTTTATGCTCTTGATAAAAATTCATTGGTTTTAGTGTAAACTTTTTATTATAAACAAAGACAGACCATGGGGTCAAAATGTGTCTGGTGCCTTTTTACCCTGTGCTTCATTTACCCTGGTGCCTTTTTATCCTGTGCTTCATTTACCCTGGTGCCTTTTTACCCAATGGCCTCGGTGCAGTGACCATGTTTCGTCTGGAGACAGCTCCCCTTGCCTGCTAGCTGGAGAGCCCCGGCCAGCCTGGTCAGAGCAGGTCAGAGGCTTTAGCTCTGAGCCCTGGGCAAGCAAAAGAGGTCGTGACTACATGCCCAGGTCTGCCCCCACCTCCTAGTGAGGTGTGTCAGGCCCGATTCTGCCCGTGGAGCCACCAGCATCCACAGATGAGAATCTAGACTGGGGCGTGGGTTCCATCAGCCTGATGCTTGCTTGAAGCAAATGCCATGTGGTCTGAGCTACATGCCAGGCCCTGGTGGGAGGCAGGCAGTGGGTGCTTAGATGAGCACAGCCCTGGGGCAGCAGCCATGTCTGCCTGTGGCCCCAGGGCTCAGCCACCTTCCTATCTTCACCCTGTCCTCTCCCACCCCCAGCACATCCTGTACTGCATTGTGGACAGTGAGTGCAAGTCAAGGGATGTGCTCCAGAGTTACTTTGATCTCCTGGGGGAGCTGATGAAGTTCAATGTTGATGCATTCAAGAGATTCAATAAATACATTAACACTGATGCAAAGGTAAGACTAACCCAGGGCTCCACGGGGTTTGCTGCATTGTTCAGAAGTTATCTTGGAGCCCTGGTCTTTGCCAGACTTCAGGTGCTGGTTTTAAATTGGAGAATACTAGGGAGTCAGTGGGACGTCTTCACCAAGCATTGATTAGCCCGGGCTCCGTGCCGGGCATTGTGCTAGTCCTTGGGGAACATCGGGTGAGGCGCAGCTGCTTGTGGGCGGGCATGAGGGTCGGAGCAGATGGGCAGTGAACATGGCTCTGATGCAGTGTGTGGGTGCCACAAAGGGCAGGACTGAGCCTCGCGTGTTGGGCTCCCAGGGTGTGTGTGACAGAAACCAGCTCAGACTAGTTGAAATAAAAATGAGAGGAGACTGGCACCCTTCTGTGCACAAACCCTGAATGTTGTGCCAGATGATCAGAAGACCTCATGGCTCCTGCTGGGGCTGCTGCTTCACAGGCAGTGAGGGCGGGTCCCCTAGTCTGTCTGCGCCTTGGTCTTCCTGCCAGGACAGCTGGCCCAGGGTAGAGCAGTGCCCCTCGCAGTGATGGTCCACACTCAGCCAGGAGCCCGCCATCTCCTGTCTGAGGTGGGCTCTGCTCCAGTTCCAGGTGTTCCTGAAGCAGGTCAACAGCTCGCTGGTGGACTCCAACATGCTGGTGCGCTGCGTCACCCTGTCCCTGGACCGATTTGAGAACCAGGTTGACGTGAAAGGTGAGGGGCAGCCCTGGTGCCAAGGTGGATCAGTCCAGTGTGGCCATCCTGGTGTCAGACACCCAGCCTCTAGCAAGGGACAAAAATGGCAGGAAGTAGCTGCCCCAAATGCCCACATTGGTGGCTTTCCAGTTGATTTTCTATACTGCTCTTGCTTTGCTCCATCAAATGTGCTTCCTTTAATGAGCACATACGTTTTAATGAAGGTTAAAAACCCATTGTTGCCAGAAAAATGCAAAATACAGACACACACACACACACACACATGCTTCCTCTCCCGGCCTGGAATTGCCTGGGATGAGAGGGCCTCAGGTTGTGAAGCCACTGAAAGAAAGGGGGTGGTGAGCTCCTGGTGGGGGCGCTCCAGAGAAGGCAGGCTCAGCCTGGCTGGCAGACAGCTGGAGGCTCGTTCCTCTTGCAGCCAGCCTTTTCTGTAGTTGTTTGGACAGTGGTGGCTCCCAGCTACTTTCGGCCCTCAGAGGGCCCTTGACTAGAGGCCTGGGGGACAAGCCCCTGGCCCGAGCCTGCTCCTCACACCTCTTCTGTGTCCCCAGTTGCCGAGGTCCTGTCGGAGTGCCGCCTGCTTGCCTACATATCCCAGGTGCCCACACAGATGTCCTTCCTTTTCCGCCTCATCAACATCATCCACGTGCAGACGCTAACCCAGGTGAGAGGCCCCACGGACGTGCAGGAGATCGCAAGTTAAGACCCGTCTCTTGGTTCCTAGGAAACCGTCACAGCTATTCTGAACAAGGGATCATTTTACAGATGGGACATAGGAAGGAGCAAGTCCCTGAGGTCACAGATGGGCTGGGGCAGTCTGGCTGGCACTGAGTTCTGAGTCCCAGTCCAGTGCTGTCTTCGGCCCACCTAGTATGCAGGGTCTGGTATTGACCTGATGTGGCCTCCACCTCCCTCACTAACTCTAGCTGTCCCTTCTCCAAGCTTTGCACCCCTTTTCTAAAAATGGGGGTATTCCATACCTCCACAAGGTGGTTCTTTTGTTCTTTTATCCAACATTTTTTAAGGCAAGGCCCTGGGCTAGGGGTGCACAGTGACTTCCCTCCTGATGCTCCCCGTCCAGTGCTGGAGGAGTTAGCACGGGAGGTAACGTGTGTGACACATGCACCCAGCACTGCCCCGGGATCAGAGCTCCTGGGAAGAAGTTGCACCTGAGCTAATTTCTGGGCCAATGACGATGTTCCTACCAGGGTGGGGATGGCTGGTGTGTGGGAGAGGGCTCAGGAAGGTGCTCGGGGCAGGATGGTGGGGGTGCTGGCCTTGTCCCCTTCCCCAGTGCTCTCAGGTTTGTGCAGGGGCAGCATAGCACGGTCCTGTAGGCTCTGGGCCTGGGCCCTCCTCTTCCCTGCCCAGTGGCACCCAAGGTCCACAGGGGCTGTTGGAGTTCTTGGCACACACCTCAACTGGGGCCTTGCAGGAGAATGTCAGCTGCCTCAACACCAGCCTTGTGATCCTGATGCTGGCCCGACGGAAAGAGCGGCTGCCCCTGTACCTGCGGCTGCTGCAGCGGATGGAGCACAGCAAGAAGTACCCTGGCTTCCTGCTCAACAACTTCCACAACCTGCTGCGCTTCTGGCAACAACATTACTTGCACAAGGACAAGGACAGCACCTGCCTGGAGAACGTGAGGGCCCTGCCCAGAGGGGCGGGTTAGGGAGTGGGGCTCGCAGACCCAAGAGCCTGTCGGAGGGCATCCTGGGCATGTCCCCACCTGGGCCATACGGTGGGCAGCTCTCTGCCCCCTTACACGGGGTGCCAGGTTCGACCTGGGTCTTCCAGGCATCACCCCCACCAGCCCTCCCCTCTTTTCCCAGAGCTCCTGCATCAGCTTCTCATACTGGAAAGAAACCGTGTCCATCCTGTTGAACCCAGACCGCCAGTCACCCTCTGCCCTTGTCAGCTACATTGAGGAGCCCTACATGGACATAGACAGGGACTTCACCGAGGAGTGACCGTGGGCCAGGCCTCAGAAGGCTGCTGGGCCAGGGCCAGTGCGGGTGAGCATGGGTATGCGTGCCGCACGCCCTGCCCTGCGCCCGCCCCTCCCCTGCCTCCCTGCTGCTGCCTGCCCGCCCCTGGTACAGGGTCTTCAGGTACAGGCTTGGTGGAGAGAGCATCTAGCAGCCCCTGGCCCTGGGTCTGAGGGCCCTGGTCACTGGGGATCCTCCATTTCCTCAGGGTCCTTATGGTGAGGATGTGGCACTGTGCCACCCTCCAGAAGCCTAGGGCCCTGGCCCACCCAGAACTAGAGGGACTTTTAAAAATAGCTCTGTGTGAGCTCCTGCCCAGTCTCTTGGCTGTCAGGCCTGGGGTGGGGAGGGAGATAAGGGCACCCTCACCCGATCTGTGAGCCAAGCTTGCCCTAGCCTTTGGCCCCGGCAAAGGCTTCTGAGCCTGTGGGCAGGGGTGGGGTCCGCCAGAGGACGCTGCCTTCCCCCGTGCCTGCCCATCTGCCCTGCCCTTCCTCCGTCCCTCATTTTCCTTTAGCTCCTCTGGTTCTGTTTGCTCATTGGCCGCTGTGTTCATCCCAGGGGGGGGTCCCCCCAAAAAAGGGGACCTTTTTCTTCCATCCCTTGAGGACAGGGTGACTGCCTTGCCCCGGGGCAGTGTCTCCTGCCTGAGCCCACATGCACAGGAGCATGGCTGGGAGCGCACCCTTGGCCCCTCCTTGTGTTGCCAATTTATTAACAACAAATAAACCAATTAAATGGAGACTATTAAAGAACTTTATTTTAAATGACTGATGTGGACTTGAGTTTTGTCCATGGGACCATGTGCTCCCCTCCCCTTCTGAGCCCCAAAGAATGAGAAGAAAACTGGCTGGAGCTGCAGATGAGGTGTTTGTTTATTTGGGATACCGCAGGGCTTGGGGCTGCCGAGAGGCTCAGCGGATGGAGAGATGACAGGATCAGGGCAGCCTCAGCCGGAGGCCGGTGAGGGGCAAACAGCCAGCATCCTCTTCAGAGCCCAGGGGCTCAGGCGTCACTCCTTGTGCTAAGGGGAGAGGGGTGGCTGAGTCAGCTGCACCACCTGCCCCTCTACGCAGCAGGCAGGCCATGCCCCACACAGCCCCTCACCTTGGGGCCCAGGGCGTCTCTGGTCCGTGCCCGCAGCTTGTTGGCCTGGGTTTCTGCCATGTCTGCCCGCTCCTCGGCGTCATCCAGCTCATGCTGGGCCTTGCGGTACTTGGCCAGGTTAGTGTTGGCTTGCTGCTCCTGGGGGGCACAGGCAGGCTTGGTCCCCACGCCACCCCAGGAGGGGGCTGGTCTGCAGTTCTGCTGACCACTGCCCGTGGTCCTCCCTCCCCACCAATACCCACGGCAGAAGGGGGGTGGAGACGCTCCTTCTGGAGGCGCCTGTGTGTCGGACCATGCCCGGAGGGGGAAGCACCTGGGGGTCCCTCCAGAGCAGAGCTAGGTCTCATCTCTTGCTGAAGCTGTTTAGAAACTTGTTTCTCTTCCTGCTCACTGTCCTTCAGGGGCAGCCTACCCACACACCAAGTCAGCACTGGGGAAACCATGGCCCAGTTGATGGCGTGGGCTGGCTACTGCCAGCATCTCAGCTGGCTGCGGACCCCGTGGCCAGCTACTAAAAGTTGGGTCACCACAGGCATCCTGACCCCAAGGCTCCAGGTGCCCAGGTGCCAGTGCACTCACCGCCTCCTCAAATTGGCGTTTGTAGCTCTTGACCTTGCTCTGCAGCTTGTCCACCAGATCCTGCATGCGAGCCAGGTTCTTCCTGTCCTCCTCAGCCTGGGCAGGCAAAGGGGACTCAGGTCTTGCCCTTAGCAGGCCAGCTCTGGGGCTGTCCCTTGAGGTGGACCTAGGCACCCACCTGATACGCAAGTTCCTTGACGCGGCGCTCATGTTTCCGCACCCCCTTGAGGGCCTCGGTGTGCTTCTTCTGCTCTGCGTCGAGCTCTGCCTCCAGCTCCCTCACCTGCAAGCAGCCTGGGGATGGGCCTCATACCCCAAGGCAGCCCTCAGGCTGGCCCTCCCTGCAGGGGAAAGGACTGGGAGGGTCACACGCACCTTGGCTTCCAGCTTCTGCACCTGCTTCTTCCCCCCACGGAGGGCTGCCTGCTCTGCCTCCTCAAGCCGTGCCTGTAGCTCCCGCACCGTCTGCTCCAGTGTCTTCTTCATCCGCTCCAGGTGTGCACTCGTGTCCTGCTCCTTTTTCAGCTCCTCAGCCATCATGGCCGCCTGGGGGTGGTAGAGGGGAGGTGGTGTGATCAGAAAGTGAAAGTCCCTTGAAGCTCTGCTCCGGGCTCCCCCATGGCCCAGCCCAGCCTCACATCAGTGATGGCCTTTTTGGCCTTCTCCTCGGCTTCCCGCCTCTCCTGAGCAGCCTCCTCCACCTCCCCACTCAGCTGCGCCAAATCCACCTCTAGCTTCTTTTTCTGGTTCAGGAGGCCTGTGTTCTGGGAGGAAGCAGAGCCTCAGAGTCGGCCAGCAGGTGCCGCCCCACACGTCCCTGCATGCCCCGGCCCCACCTGCGAATGCAGGAGGTTGAGGCGCTCCGTGGCCTCCAACAGCTCCTGTTCCGCCAGGCGTCGGCTGCGCTCGCCCTGCTCCAAGGCAGCCCGCAGCTCTTCCAGCTCGGCAGCCAGCAGTGCAGCCCGTCGCTCAAGGGCCTGCGCCTGCTCTCGGAGCTCAGCCCCCAGCCGTTGCTCCTCGTCCCGCCCCGCCTGCTCCTCCTTCAGTTGGGCCTGCAGCAGCCTGGTGGCAGCCTGTGCCTCCATAGCCTGGCGGGCGGCGTGGCCCAGCTGCAGCTCCAGCTCATTGAGGTCGCCCTCCATCTTCTTCTTGAGCCTCAGGGCCTCGTTGCGGGCCCGTGTCTCTGCGTCCAGGGAGGACTGCAGGGACTCCACTGCCCGCTGGTGGTTGCGCCTGTGGAGGAAGGGATGAAAGGAGGGGTTGTGGCCTGCAGGACTGGGCTGGGCACGGGCACCATCTGCTCTTAACACGTAAGGGATGTGGGGTATGTGAACCCATTCTGGGAGTACGTGACTCCTCCCACCCTGATTTCGAGCCCCTTGTGACGACTGCCTGTTGCCCATCAGAGCGAGTTTGCAGACAGGTGAGGCTCCAGGGCAGACATGGGCTGAACTCTCGCTCTACTCCAACTATGTAATTTTGGGCAACTCCTTCAGACTCTCTGCGGTTCATCCCTAGAAGGGACAATCGTCCCAAGCTGAGCATCTGTGTGGGAGGTGCCCATCAGGTGTCTGTAGCAGTGCACACGTACGGTGGGGCTCAGCAAACATGGCCTGCCTGCCTTTCTCTCCAGATGCTGGGATAAGAGGGGCTGTTAGCCCAGGGAAGAGGGATGGGCCCTTGGGTGCTAGTGGGTCGGGATGGCCCCGGCCCGTATACCTCAGATTCGTGCACTCCTCATCTTTCTCCGCCAGCTTCCGGTCCACTTCAGCCTTGACCTGGGAGAGCTCCAGCTGGATCCGAAGAGTCTTGGTCTCCTCCAGCTCCAGGGCTCCCTAGGGGCACAGCAGGCAGTATGGACGTGGGGGCCGTGAGCATGTGTTCAGGAAGAAGGGAGGCCAGGGGAGGAGCAGGTCAGGGTCCAGCCACCCCTGCAGCCAGCTCCTGACCTCAGCCTCCTCCAGTGCAGCCTGGGTCTCGCTCTTCTCCCCTTCCAGGGCCTTCTTGGCCTTCTCCAGCTCCTGAATGCTCTTGCCACTGAGGCTGACCTGGTCTGTGAGATCACTGATCTCCTCTGCAGAATGGACCAGGCACTGAGGGGCTGCCCCCATGGCTTGTGCTCCAGCCCAGGTCACTTCATTCACCCCTAATCCCAGGGGCAGTCCCACCGGGACACCCTGTGTGCACTCCCGGCCACCCCAGAGCAGCCTGTGATCCTGAGGCGGGTCGTACCCTGTAGGTTCTTGTTCTCCCGTTTGAGTGTCTCCAGGACCTCAAGAGCCTCCTCGTGGCTGTGCCGCAGCCGGAAGAGCTCAGTGCCCAGGCTGCGGGCCTCCCTCTGGGCCGCCTCCAGCTCCCGCTGCATCTCCTCCTCCTGCCGTCGCCGCTCCTCCAGGGCCCGCTCCAAGTGCCGCTGCTTCTTGTCCAGCGCAGCAGCTGCTGAGGTCGCCCGCTCCAGCTCCAGGGTCACGTCTTCCGACTCGGTCTGCAGCCGCAGCTTGGCCTTCTCCAGTGACGAGCACTTGGCGTGAGCAGCCTCTACACCCTCCTCTGCCTCCTGCAGCCGCAGTGCCAGCTTCTTTCTAGGCCACAGGAGCAGACAGGGTACGGACATCGTAGCAGAAGGAGGCTGGCAGAAGAATGGCCCCCGCGCCTCTCCTCGCCCCCTCGCAGCTCAGAGGCACTAGCATCACCCCAGCAAGGCACCCACTTGGCTTCCTCCAGCTCCTCAGTCCTCTGGATGGCATCTGCCTCGTACTTGCTCCTCCACTGGGCCACCTCGGCATTGGCCTTGGACAGCAGCCGCTGCAGCTCAGCCTGGGCCTCGGCCTCTTCCTCGTGCTGTTCCCGCAGGAGGTCACAGTCGTGCCGCAAAGCTTGCACAGCATGGGCCAGCGCACTCTTGGCCTGCAGAGACCCCAGTGAACTTGGCATCAGACCAGGCCAGTGGCCCTGGCGCCCACCCACCCCACCCACTGCAGGGCAGCCAGTGGCCAGCCCACCTTGCTCTCCTCCTCCAGCTGCCTCCGCAGCTCCTCCAGACTCTGGGTGGCTGAGGCCTTCCCACGGCTCAGCTGGCTAATCAGAGACTCCTTCTCCTCGAGCAGGCGGCTCAGCTCCCCTGCAGGCCAAGGAGTAAGCCAGCAGGTCAGTCAGGCAAGGGACGGAACCAAGGCCCTGTTGTGGCCTAGCTGAGCCCCTGGCCTCACCACTCTCAGTCTGCAGCCGCCCACGCTGGGTGCTCGCGTCTGCCAGCTGCCGCTGCAGCTCTTCCACCTTGATCTTGGCCTCACTCAGCTGATCCTCATAGGCCCGGCACAGCTTCTCTGAACTGGCCTGGGATCCAGGGTCAAGGGTCAGAACAAGTTGGTGACTCCCAGGGCAGGGTCTAAGGCTGCCAGTCAGACACTGGAAGCAGGGGTCAGAAACTAGAAGGCTAGATGTGGACCCAGGAATCAAAGGGAGTGCACAGCCCTGGGTTCAGGGCCAGAGATTCTACCGCTGGTCTAAGGTCAAAGGTCTAAGGCTCAAAAGATGGGCATCAGAAGTGAGAGGACTGGACTAGTCCTAAGGCCAGTGGGCCAGGGTGGGGTTAGGACACGAGTGTGAAGTCAGCTGAGAACAGTGGTCTGAGGTCGGTCATCAGGTGTAGGTGGTACAGAGGTCAGGGTTGGGTGCTGGGATTCAGAACAGGAACAGAGACAGGAAAGGTATTAGGTCAGAGTTCAGGGGTCAAGGACTGAGAAGTTAGAATTGGATGCTGGATCAAAAATGACCTGGAGTCAGGGCACAGAGTTTAGGAATCAGGGCTTGAGATCTGGACTGGTGTGGAGTTGGTGCTGAGTAGCAGGTGAAGGAGCCAGGGGTCAGAATCGGGCCCAGGGTCAGCTGTTAGAGTCAGGGTGGGCTTAGGGTCGGGATGGGTGTATGATCAGAGTCTGGGGGCAGGGTCAGAGCCGGGCGGGGTCAGTCACCTTGCCCCGGGCCAGCGTCTCCACGCTGGCGCCCAGATCGTCCACCTCCATGCGGAGCTCACTCTTTTCCTTCTCCAGCTTCTGCCGCACCCGCTGCAGGCTGTCCA